CGAGGCCGCAGGCTTTGCACGCTACTAGGCCTCGACACCCACCACGCCACTCTGAGGTAAATTCATCAAAGTTTTTCCTACTCTTCACTACACCCCCACCACAATGTGTGCTATTAATATTACTTTTAAACCCAACGCGCCAACAATCGATCACTTTAATGTTCACTGTACAAATACTCATTAAGCTGGGTGAGCGTACTGCCAGTCTATCATGTACACTGTAGCCTGCTTATTAAGCTCGGTGAGCGTACTGCCACTCTATCATGTACACTCTAGCCTGCTTATGAAGCTGAGTGCGTGTACTGGCAGTCTATAATGTGGACTCTTGCCTGCTTATTATAATCGATTCTTTATATGTTCTTTGTACAAACAGTCATTAAGCTTCGATTTAAAGCTTTCGTGACTGCAGGGATTCATCTTCTTGTTTCTTTCGGTAAAGTCACGTAGAAGGGAAGTAATAAAATAATAAAAATAAAACATAATAAAACAATTCTCACGACGTTTCGGCTACAACGCAAGCAGCCGTCTTCAGGTGAAGAATGAGACACTACCAAACTAGGAGCTTATATATAAGCTGCATTGGGGGTTGAAGAGCGCCTTAACAAAAAGAATGTGCATGTGAAGAGGGATTTAGCATATTCATGGAAAATGCGTAGGCGTTGGGCGGGGGGGTGTCAAAGTCATATTATGCCCATGCATTATGCAGGATCAGCAGCAACCAAGGGGGTGCAGGGATTAGCAGTAACAAAGGAAAGGAATGTTAATGATATGTAGCTGCAGTTACTCAACAACCACGTAGAAAACTAAAGTATAAACTACATAAAAAACTAAAGTATAAACTGCATCGCACCATCAGTATACTTACTATACTCTATAATAAGCTGAGTTACTAACAGCAAGTAATACATTACAATTTTACCTCGTAAAAATTCTATAATATGCTTCCATCTAAACCTTATTCTCTTACATCACACGAGCATATACCGTACTATATACTGCCATAGATAAACCCAACATTAAATTATATACTGTATTGCTGTAAACCAACCTATATCTTATACATTTAATATCACACTATGTATTATTCTACACACCCTAATGTGTATCGAAATGGTTTATTACGTCCTTCCAATGATTGCTGAGCCAGAATCCATCTTCTCGGTTAAAGTTGTCTCTGTGTTTGTATATGTGGATCGCCTCATGAACGAATCTCTCATGATAGCCAGATGGCTTGCAGAGAACCTCTGTCTTGGAGAAGTCAATATCATGTGAGCCCACTGAGTTGTAACAGTGATCTGCCACGGCTGAGGTGTTAGTCTGTAACCCTCAAAAACGCTAAGATGCCAGCTAGCAACATCAGCAAAGAGGAGCGTTTTGAATTAGCTCAATTAAAAAAGAGGGATGACATTGTCATCCTCTCAGCCGACAAAGGCAATGCCACTGTCATCATGGACAAAATAGAATACAACAACAAAATTCAAGAACTACTAAACGATGGCAGCTATACAAAAATAAAAAGAGACCCCACCAACAGCCTCGTCTCCAAAACCAACAACATCATTTCTGCTTCAACCGCATTAATTGATCAGACCAAACAGTTCTCGTTGAAACCTTCTGCAGCCAGACCACCAAGATTGTACGGCTTGCCAAAGATACATAAAGAAGATACACCTCTTCGTCCCATTGTCTCTACTATCAACTCCCCCACTTACAAACTGGCTCGTTTTTTGTCCGAAATCCTACGGCCTTTCACTGGAAAAACCACCTCTGCAGTACTAAACTCTACTGACCTGGTATCGACAATCAAGGGGATTGCCCTGTCCCCAGACGACCTGCTTGTCAGTTTTGATGTGGTTTCCTTGTTCACCAAGGTACCTGTGCCTGACACCATCGCAATCATTGAAGACTTGGTTCATCAAGGACTGAATGCTGGGGTACCCCCCCTGGTGAGACACTGCTTAACCAATACATACTTCACCTGGAATGGAACCTTCTACAAGCAAATTGAGGGCACCCCAATGGGCTCCCCCCTATCTCCGGTTGTAGCCAACATCTTCATGGAGAAATTTGAGACGGACGCCATCCAGACTGCCACTCTACGCCCGACCTTATGGAAGAGGTACGTAGACGACACTTTTGTCATCTGGCCACATGGCCGGCCTGCTCTAGACCAATTTCTCGACCACATCAATTCCATACACCCAGCCATCAGATTCACCATGGAAGTCGAAAATGATGGCAAGCTACCCTTTTTGGATGTCCTAATCAAAAGGAGACTTGATGGTTCAATGAGCCACTCTGTCTACAGGAAAGCCACCCACACGGATGCTTATCTAAAACCGGATTCCCACCACCATCCATCTCAGAAGAATTCCCTCATCAAGACTCTATATCATAGAGCCCAATGCATCTCCGACCATGAACACATTTCCAGTGAACTCAAACACGTACGCCAAGCTCTTAAGGCAAATGGTTACTCCGACTATACAATCCGCAAAGCCATCACTCCAACCATCAAGAAGGATCCTGTTGAGGAGCCTTTCAAGACCATCACCTTACCCTACATTGCTGGGGTCACAAAAAAGATCTCCAAAATCCTGATTAAACACAAGATCCAGGTCCGATTCAACACAGTACATAAAATCCGTGATCTGGTACCGTCTGTAAAAGATGTGGTTCCAGACATACAGTACCCTGGCGTCTACAAACTAAGTTGCCTCTGTGGTAGCAGTTACATTGGGGAAACCAAACGACATGTCTCGGACCGCATCCGTGAACATAAAGCTGACCTGAAACACGGTAGGACTAACACCTCAGCCGTGGCAGATCACTGTTACAACTCAGTGGGCTCACATGATATTGACTTCTCCAAGACAGAGGTTCTCTGCAAGCCATCTGGCTATCATGAGAGATTCGTTCATGAGGCGATCCACATATACAAACACAGAGACAACTTTAACCGAGAAGATGGATTCTGGCTCAGCAATCATTGGAAGGACGTAATAAACCATTTCGATACACATTAGGGTGTGTAGAATAATACATAGTGTGATATTAAATGTATAAGATATAGGTTGGTTTACAGCAATACAGTATATAATTTAATGTTGGGTTTATCTATGGCAGTATATAGTACGGTATATGCTCGTGTGATGTAAGAGAATAAGGTTTAGATGGAAGCATATTATAGAATTTTTACGAGGTAAAATTGTAATGTATTACTTGCTGTTAGTAACTCAGCTTATTATAGAGTATAGTAAGTATACTGATGGTGCGATGCAGTTTATACTTTAGTTTTTTATGTAGTTTATACTTTAGTTTTCTACGTGGTTGTTGAGTAACTGCAGCTACATATCATTAACATTCCTTTCCTTTGTTACTGCTAATCCCTGCACCCCCTTGGTTGCTGCTGATCCTGCATAATGCATGGGCATAATATGACTTTGACACCCCCCCGCCCAACGCCTACGCATTTTCCATGAATATGCTAAATCCCTCTTCACATGCACATTCTTTTTGTTAAGGCGCTCTTCAACCCCCAATGCAGCTTATATATAAGCTCCTAGTTTGGTAGTGTCTCATTCTTCACCTGAAGACGGCTGCTTGCGTTGTAGCCGAAACGTCGTGAGAATTGTTTTATTATGTTTTATTTTTATTATTTTATTACTTCCCTTCTACGTGACTTTACCGAAAGAAACAAGAAGATGAGTCATTAAGCTGCTTGAGCGACCCCAGTTCGATTCCAACTCACGCCCACCACCGCTGACGATTATTTGAAACGGACCTGGCCCTCCCCTAGGTCCACTCAGCCTCAAAAGCGTAACTGCTGTCGTGTGTGAACATCGTCACTGGGGAGACAAAGGCGGCGGGGCATCGTGGATCCAAGTCCCCGGCAAAGCCGGGTCATGTGTGTGTGTGTTTGTGTTTATGTGTATGTCTGTGTGTCTCTATGTATGTGTGTATGTATGTGTATGTATGTGTTTGTGTGTATGTGTGTGTGTATGTATGTGGCTTTTTTTTATGTCTTTATGTGTATGTCTGCGTGTCTCTATGTATGTGTGTATGTACGTGTGTGCATGTGTTTGTGTGTATGTATGTGTGTGTCTATGTATGTGTGTGTATGTGTTTCTGTGTATGTATGTGTGTGTATGTATGTGTGTTATGTGTCTGTCTGTGTCTGCATGTATGTGTGTGTGTATTGTGTATGTGTTTATGTGCATGTATGTGTGTGTTTGCGTGTATGTGTATGTCTGTGTGTATGTGTTTGTGTGTATGTGTGTGTATGTATGTGTGTGTATGTGTTTGTATGTGTTTGTGTGTTTACGCTCGCATTACACAAATGTGTTGCTGGTCTAAGGCGTTCCTCGCACAGCATTGCCGCTTTATTATTTCAGTCGTTTACTGCCTTACGCACCCTGAAAGTCGTGTGTGTCTGCAGCAAGCGCGTGTATGTGTACCTATGGACGCGCGCGCGTGTGTTGTGTAGGGGGAACGGTAGTGTAGTGCTTAGCGTGCTGTCTGTGTCTGTGTGTGTGTGTGTCTGTCTGTGTCTGTCTGTGTGTGTCTGCGTGTGTCTGTGTGTGTGTCTGTGTGTGTGCGTGTGTGGTGTGTGGGGAGCGGTAGTGTAGTGCTTAGCGTGCTGTCTGTGTGTGTGTGTGTCTGTCTGTGTCTGTCTGTGTGTGTCTGCGTGTGTCTGTGTGTGTGTCTGTGCGTGTGTGGTGTGTGAGGAGCGGTGGGTGTAGTGCTTAACGCTACGCTGCGCTACCAACCCGGCAAACCCAGTTCGATTCCCGCTCACGGCCACCACCGGTGACGATTATTTGAACCTCACCTAGGTCGACTCTGCCTCAAACGAGTAACTTAACTACTGTAGCGTATTAACATCGCCACTGGGGAGACAAAGGCGGCCGGCCGTGGTAGATACAAGTCCCGGGCGAAGCCGGGTAGTACAGCTAGTCATTGGTTAGAACCATGACGTTTCAATCTTTGATGTTTGATAGTCAGGATTACAGCACTGCCTTTATTAATAAAATGGAAAAACAGATACATCAGTTAAAATACATACGATTTCTGAATGTTGTAGACATTCAATTTGTGGAAAAGTAACAAGCAAACAAAACTCACATTTGGCATGGTTGTGTTTATTTTAACCAATTACTTTATATATGGATTTTTTGTATTCATCACAAATGCTTCAAATTATATTAGACTAGAAAACTCTGAAGCTCCGTATCAATATAATTCAGATATCAATTTACTCCTAAAAAAACAGATCATTATATTAAACAAAACAGAAAAGAACTGCACTTACATACAAACTTTATTGGCTCCAACAACTATAGATCACATTCCAACGGCCTCCTTTCATAAGCTGCTGCGTTTGACGCAAATACCAAAGGTCAATCGCCTTGTTATTTACACAGTGGCAGACCAAAACGTTACACAACCCACAAGGGGGTCAACACAAGGTCAAACCTTGCTGTATTAACATTTGGCATCGTACTAAACCTATATTGGCACCATCGCCAAATGGGATTAGCGCTGTGCCGCCCCCCACACTCCATGAAAATGCCACTGTACTATATCATCATTTACACCGTTATTACGCAAAGGCCAAGTATTGCCTTGAGCCGTTTAGCCCCAGGGAATGTTTCCCAGCTCGCGCATTGGGGGAGTCTCGCCACAGAGAAGCGTAAATTTACGAAGTTCAATCATCCTTCCGATCCAGAATGTTACACAAATTAATTAGAGTCGGTTTCAAACAGTGCCACTAACCAACCAAGGCAAGAACAGAAGTCAACAACGTTCAATCAACATGGTTTACGGGCGTAAAAGCACGCATTTACACACATATTAGCACGGTACTGTAGATAATAACACTATATATTTTGTGGGTGTGTTTATAGGGAAAAGGACTGCTGCAAAGAAAACGTTTACCTTTAGTTATAATCATATTTCTTTCCAACCCATTTTATATGACCTGCTACATGTATACTTGTTATGTATACACACACACACATTGTATACACTTCAACATACAGTATGACCTTATTGGCAATATACACAAAGCAGTGATCCTACAAAAATACAAAGTAGTCTATTAAAAATTTATACTAAAATCTGTGAAGCTTGAGGCACATCGAGTACAACATCATTTATGGCAGGAAAAAGGTACACACCAAGCTGATTATTTTTTTTACTTATTATAACCTTGTTTGTATATTAGCCAAGTGCTGGTAAGTTAATTACAATATAAATACCATCGACACACCCACTTCGCCGCTACATATTATGCCACAAAGTTTACAGGGCTGGCTAACATTATGGCTGCCAATATGACGCACACTTTTAGCGATGTGTGTATGGCCTTTAGCAAGTCTCTAAAAACCACGACAATTAAGATGAGCCAAGATAATGCAGATTTCTTTCTTTTTGTTACCAAAAAATACATGGTCCACCAAACCTCACAGTGTAAATATCATGAGAAATATACGACAAAGCTTTGAAATACATTTACAAAGACGCTGTAATTGCCGGACGAAAACAACCGACAGACACGCTTAAACTCCTTCATCTTAACAATTTTGATTGAACATACACGAACAATACCATTTTGCGATCGCAAAGCATGACATTCAGCACAGCCCACGCTATATGTTACGTTAAAGTGCTAACTTTAATGTGTTCTGGAACAGTCTTCATTGTGCTGAAAGGCAGTAATTTTTGTGTGCTATTCACAATTGCTAATCATTTCAAAAGCTAAGCTACAAACTTCGCCGTATCAACGAGCAGTCAACTACTCTGTTCGGGACTGTTCAATGAATCTCGCAACGGCGAGGAAGGAGGGGCCCCCCCTCTGCATATTTTAGATTGCACCTGCAACTTTACAACAGATTCATTCAAGGAATCACAGCAGTACACTTCGCTACTCAGGACGCAATCAACCTGGCATGACCGCCAACAAAATGTGTTGCTCTGCATCAACATCAGCCATACGAAGAACAAGCTCAATATAATTATGCGTCCTCTGATAAACTTGACATGTCGTAGAGGTCACAATTCACGATGTAACACTGGGAAAAATAACAGAGTTGCCCGTCTTATGAGTACAACTTAAAAACAAATCTAATATAGCTTAAAATAAGTGTATTCGCAAGGGGATCTAAGTCATTACAACCACAAACGCACAACTCGCAGCTTGTTGGGAAATCAGGAATAAAAAAAAATTTAAGATATGGAAATGGCTGTGTAGTCCCCCCGAGTGTGAAATTAGAATGTACAGCAGTACTGTAATGTATTTAATGGGCATCTGTTGAAAGCAATTAAGAGCTTATATAATCTTAACCACGTGACTATTTGATTAACATAGGTACTGTCTACGATAGTGCACAGTTGCTGCTTCAGTACTTTTCTCGGCAAAAAATTAATCCTGAAGAGAAAATATGATTTGGGTCAATGCCGAGAGATTCCGATACCCAGAGAATGAGGTCAACGTAATTTTCACTCGTGCATCGCTTCAAAAGTGGCATTTGACACTAACTAAACGTACGGAATGTGGTTTGGTAAACGTGAAAACACTAAATGGTAAAATTTTATTATCGATATGAATTGTTCCCTGCACGCAGTCAAATTGGAACAAGCAGCAATTCATTCCTTAAAATTATATTTCCTGAAATGGTAGGAATTTGACACGAATATTAAAAGAGAACATACCAAAATCAGGTGTGCCGAAGGGAAAAAAAACAGAGTTAAAGCGTACCCCAAAGGACATGTGCTTCGCTTGGGAAAACATTAATTAGGAGAGTCAATTGATGGCATGTAAAACAATGAGCCTAAAAGCACACTGAGACTGCATTGGAACCTCATTTGCCCGTAAAAAATATGATAATTGGTTTTTTACCCTTTTATCTGGCAACAAAACTGACACCTTTTTTGATCAGGAGTCATGTTTGCATAGACCACAATACCTGCAGTCATAATGCAAACAAAAAACACAACTCTGATAATGTGTGTAGGTATTGTGGTCTATGCAAACATGACTCCTCATAAAAAAGGTGTCAGTTTTGTTGCCATTCAGACGCTGTCGCCTCGACAGACCTGGTTTCACCTGAGGACGGCTGCTTGCGTTGTGGCCGAAACGTCGTGAGAATTATTTTTATTATGTTTTATTTTTATTATTTTATTACTTCCCTTCTATGTGACTTTACCGAAAGAACCAAGAAGGTAAAAAACCAATTATCACACTGAGACTATTAAACATAGCCACGAAAACTGTGAGATGTGGACAGAAACTAATTTTGCCAGAATGCAGCAACAATATATTGTGAAAGTCTGAAGCATTACAGAAGTCAGAACAAGCAGAAAACAGCAAATCAGGATACTCAAATGTGATGCTGTGTTACGAATACGCTCTCCGTGTGTGGGCTCATTCGGCATGGGCATGGGACACAGACTGTAAGAGAGCAATTCTAAAAAGGCAGTGGTAGAGGCAGCCATACATTGACCTAAATCTGTCAGTGTGGGAATGAGAAACCCAGCTTTGTAACATTTTAAGATGAGGAACGCACCGCAAGTTAACAGGAGTAACAATCTGGTGGCCATCAAGGGGTGGTTTAATACCCCATGGGTTGCTAGGAAAAAAAAAAACCTTTCCATGGTGTTTTTGTAGATGCGGTTGCCCCAGGGAGAATTTTTCTCATGTGCCCATGGATTCATGAGGGAATGAAGGTCAATGAGTTACGCCCTTTCGTTTATTGGACCTCACAGAAAAACCACCAAGATTAACTCCCAGCTATATTTTTACGGTCTCTTACCATATACTTTATTATCATTAATCACATGTCAAATCTTGTTATCCGTTGCTGGTTGAAGACTTATCTTTAAAGAAACACAAGCAGAATTTGGTCTCATTATGGAGTTCAGTTTAAAAACCAAAAAATTCCATTGGTCATTTTCAAACATTACACTTTTTCGTATTTGGTGACAAAACCACATCATGGGCAAATGTGAAACTGAAAAGAGCTGCTCTAGAAAAATGAATTACGTAACTTTCAACCTTGCTGCAAATGATGCTTGCTTGCTTGCTTAATACAGTACCTTGCCTAGATCACATAACCACAGTGTAGATCTCAGTTATCGCATGTTTTTGGTTTTGGCTGGTAATCTTGGTTGGCTACTGCACTGGACATGTTAACTAAACAAATGTCTCCCCTCTTAAGTTTAGATTGAAATTGCAACTGGATGTTCAACTACATATCCATTTACACACAAAATAAATTGCGCTAAGAATGCTGATAAATGCTTTTTTGAGAATTGCATTTGATATTTTATTCATGATTTAACCGGATACTGCACACATTAAATGCTCCTTAGCCACCGTGGCTTCCGAAAAGCCATTTCATATTTTTGCTTTCAACGTGACGGCAAAAACATGAAACACTCTGCCCTACTTAAACTTAAAATCAGTAACTTTTAAATGTTTTTGTTCCTTCCCATCCGCCTACTTAAGGGGCCCACAAGCACACTAAGAAGGGCAGGGGTTTGTGTGGACAAGACAGTTTTACACCTCTGGGATCATAAACGTTGAAGGTTTCTAATGCACACAGGTCCATGTGGGAACATATGCATGATCATGACCAAACACAAACATATCTTCTTAGAATGAACTGCAAACAAACAGCGATAAAAGTTTCACAAATGCGACGCAAGCCATTCGTCTGAAATCAACATGACAGTCGAGTTGATAATCAATGTGTATATATATTTTTTGAAATAGATCAACGTGAAATAAGCAAGCTGCACTTTGCAGTTCTTCCGTACAATTGCCCATTCTATAAGCTACGTGGGAAAACAATAAAAAAAAGACTTTACAAGTGTTTCTTTAAATGACTCATCTCCGAAGGTTTCCATTTGAAATTCACTTCGTGCAACCCAGGGGTCGGCAACCAAAATAACAAGAAGAGCCATTTCTTTCCAATTCGGTACAAAATTCAGTATTTCAAGAGCCGCAATGCATCTGAGTACATACTGTACATACGTACATATCGTCAAGAAGCAGCCCGTAAAGAGCCGCATGCGGCTCCGGAGCCGTAGGTTGCCGACCCCTGGTGTAACCATTTCCGCACTGCACAAATTGCCAAGCATCAAGTTTACTCTTGTTATAGTACGGCAATTAAACCGTCGTACTTAATTTTCCATGGGTTGACCGCACACGATTATAATTTAAGTGAGGCATGTAATATTATGTTCGTGACGTACGCTCATCGTCTCCTTAGGCTGATGCATCTCCTGAGAAATGTCTGTAATCACCGCTCTTTGGGGCATTTTCCTACCGTTTGACACCTTGGCTTTCCCGCTATTCAAATTAAATTGCATGATGAACTCAGCCTCAGTTATGTATGGACATAAACTTTGACAGCGGCTTGAGGTAGGGACTGGGTTTGGATCCATCACCTTTGCATGACATAATTCACAACCAATCAAACGCGCATACTGAAAACCCAAGGACACTACAAAGTAATTTGCAATAATCCACCCATTGCTTTAACATTCTGCTTTGATGTTAAGTGTTGCTAATTGTGCAAGCAAAAGCCTACACTTTCAGCTCAACACACCTACATCAACATCCCCAATGAAGCTTTGGCCAATGTGCCAATGCTCCTCTACACTTTGTACAATCCATGTACGTATTACAGTTAAAAGAGATCAAGGAAGTAAATAAAGTCATTCTGTTACCAACTAAAATATATGGCCCGCAATGTACGTCTTGAAGGGATTGAATCTGGTCACTTACCGTGCTGCTTGAGGGGGGGGGGGCTGTGAGTTGGTATTCTATGATATTTGTTCAATGGCCCAGCTCAGGAGGAGGGGGGGGGGTCACGTTGGGAGTCGACGGTGTGCAATGTGGGTGACTGCACAGGGAAGTTGAGTCTCCCTGGCTTGATTCAGTCCCAGGCTCAGGATAGGCCCTTTGGAGTGTCTGCAGAGTCCACACTGATGAAATGTCCAAAGTTGAGTGGTGTACGAAGTGATGGGAAGTTAACAAAACAAAAAACAGGCCTTTCTATGCTTTCTGTTAGAAGCTGCAAGGCAGGAGGAAACGTTTCAAATAAAAGGAAAGAATAGATTTCCATTTTAATCAAGTATATTAAAATAAAATCGCAATAAAAATGTCTGACACTATTTGGGGCCGCTAAAAAACCCCCACTTAAGTTACCCGCTGACGCGATATTCATTGGCTGCTTAAGCTTAGCTGCTTCTTGCAAAATAAGGTTAAAGCACAAAGCACAGGTTTGGATCGTATTGCAATGTTCACAGCTAAACTTTGCTGGTTCCACCCACTGACCCAATCCACTCAGTGGTTACAAAACATAGCACGGACGTGGGAACGCTGCTGAAGGGGGGTGTGGGTGGGGGTGGGGCAAGCGTTCACTGCTTGCTCGGCATCCTGCCCTCGCGGTCTTGGAGAGAGCCGCCGGTGCCCTGACGGGACAGGGCCGCCTCCGAGCACGAGCCCGAACCGGAGCCCGAGCCCGAGCCGGAGCCCGTGCCGTGCCGGGAGCGTCGGGAGCCGGTTCCCATGCTCACGCCTGTGCCAGCCGGCTGGTCGAGGCCGAACGACAGCGCCCCGAGGTGGATCTGCCGCAGGTTCTCCAGCGCCTCCGCCTTGGCCTTGCGCAGGAGGTCAGCCTGGCCCTGGGTTTTCCCGCGAAACAGGATGAGTTCAGGTGTGCGACGACTTTTACACAAATACATGCGACCCGAGTCGATGAGCAATTATGCGGCAATCGTGGTCTTCGACGGAGAAATGAAATATCGTGGTCGCGAATTGGCATCGGAACACGTAACGTGCAAATGCATCTGGCGAGTTAAATACTTGTGCACTGTATAAACTTTCAGTATTTTTTATGCGAGTTTTATTCCATGACCTACATACAGTGGCATAAACATGTCAGTAAAATGATATGCCCAAGGTCTGTGGGGTGCCCTTTGTGATGGCTGTCTTGTAATACTGGTCTAACCTTGTACAATTTTCCTCTCAGACATCCAAATAAATGATGGAAAATTCTAAAGTTTCTTCATAAATTAAGTAGAAATATGACGTTAAAAGGAATTATTTTTTTACAAATGAAACTGATCGTTGATGTTGCATCAATAGTGCCTCCGATTGTTGTACAGTTGGCCACGTAGGGTGCGAAAGAAGTTCAACGTACATAGATACATACTTGCCACACAACCCTATGAGCATGTATGTAGTTGGAAACAGCTTGAGGATGCCTTCATCCAGCAGTAGATCATCATGGCTGACAATGATGATGTCTATGATAATGGAATCTGCATTAATCAATAAATGGTTAGGCGAAATGTATGCATGCAAAACTTCTTTAATAAGCATTTGGAAGAACGTCAATGGACACGACCATGGATATCTTCACAGCACACACGCTAAGCTGTGAAGGTTACGATTCAAGCTTCCACCCCCCCACCCCTCTCCAGTTTGAAACAATAATGGTTTTAGCAGCACACCAAGCTGGCATGACAACCCACTCGGGTCAGTTTCTTTGACGTCGTACGAGCTTCAGCGATTTCCACGAATCGGCCATCGGTAATGGGCCTCGACATGCCGGTGACTCGGTAAACTCCCGAGGGATTTGGATGACCTTCCTCCACGAGTCTGCCGATTGTTCAGTTCAGTTAATTTATTAGGTATCGCCCTGTGAGCCATTCGCTCTTGAATCGGGTGCAACCGCAACAAACAAAAACATGAGCAAGAAACATCTTAAAGTGACTACACGCAACAGAAAAAATCCAGGAAAAAACAGCAACGTCTTTCAGAAAAAGCACCGAATATCAATGATGTGTGCAAACATCCCAGTGGGATACAAGTCAAACAACAACAACCATAAGACAATTTAGATTAAAGTTATCAGTCTAACTCTGTACTACAACAAACAAATATGGCTAAACCAAAACTTTTCGAAATCACCAAAATAAAGCTATAAAAATAATGTAACAGTGATCATAGGAACTGTGATTCAAATTTAACAATAAAAGATATACATATCATGTACGACCAAACTTTGCAGCCATAGAGCTGGCAGCATGAGTCACTCCATAACAGCAAGAGTATAAGTAGGAGTATAAAACATTTTCAATGCACCTTTAAAGATTAGCACACTATAATCAAAACTCAAGGTCATACTTTGCTGCGGTCATCCGGAGCGATACATTTGATTTGAGGCCACTGAATAGCAGAGACAGCGAGGGGTGTACAACTCCTCGAGAGCAGTTTTGAATGAAGATCTCACAGGGAGTGATCTAAATTGCAGTTTATTGGCGATCGCATTCCAAACCCTGGGGGCATCAATAGCAAGGGCCCTTCATCCAGTATTTGTACGGCAATAAGGAATGTGAAGCTGGTAAATGAGCGAAGACCTTAGGTAACATTTGTTCTTCGAAACAGTGAGGAGATCCAGCAGGTAGTCTGCGGATTTTTTTGTAAGTACATCATGAATAAATAAGATCTGATGCACAAGCCGTCGATCATTAAGTGATCTTAAGTTTGACCCAATGTAGAGATCGCAGTGGTGAGTCCTATATGGGCAGTTCAATGCAAATCTTAAAGCCGAGTGATAAATTGAGTCAAGCTTCTTCAGTACAGTACTCGGGGCTAATTTATATACGATGTCACAGTAATCAAGTAGAGGCAGTATGGTAGCTTTGATCAATTCCAAACAGAACTTAGGGGGGAAGCAGTGCTTGTGTCGATACAGAAAACCAATTTTTATTTTGTCTTTTTACCAATATAACCAATGTGATCTTGAAAATTCAGTTTTGAATCAAGGATGACCCCAAGATTGGCAGAAATCTCAAGGAGTTATGCTCAACATGCTCCATCGACAGGATCCGTGCTGCCTGTGAGATTTACCCATCGGCTCCTGAGAGAACTGAACTATAAACATTTTTAAATTTTACCAGGTAAGGCACACTGAAATATACGGCTCTTTTTCAGAAGCGAACTGGCCACGAACGATAGCTCAACGAAGTGGCTCATGTGGAAATTCATAGCAGCCTAATATTCTAAATGCATTTTTTTCTAAAGGTGGAGGGAAAAACCGGAGGACCCAGAGAAAAATCCCTTCAACCACAGAGAGAGCCACGCAAACTCCAAATATACAGGCGTCAGGGTCGGGATCTAAGCCCAACGACCTCCTGTACACCAGGCGAAATAGTTAACATCTCGCGACCGTGGCGCACCTTTGGCCACTGTTCGTTTCAGATGTATCACCTGGCAACTCGCCCTGCTGCTAGCTCTCACGTCTTGCCAGGAGGACAGGGGGGGAGGGGATTAAAGCGCAACTCCTATGTATACTTTTGCAGGGGGCTACAAAACGGAATCTATCTTGCGACCCACATACACCTTCGAATGGCTTTCAAAGTCAAAATATAGTTCTACACTCAGCCTGTTGGTGTTTAAATACCACGCGAAGGAGAGAGAGCCGTTCAAAACACCCCCGTCGAGTTGTGTTTGTTTCGATATGGAGGGGGTGGAAGCCTGGAGTTCACGACCTCCGCAGCGACTTCACGTTGTGCTCTCCCGCACTTCCTCTCCAAGCGCATTGTCTCCGTAAAAATAACCTCCGAGGAGTTTCTGCTGAAGATATTCTATTTAAAGTGTAAAGACGATTACAACTAGGTGGTGTATTTTTGTTTGTACCAGGTAAGGCCCACACTGTTATATAACTCTTTTTCAGAAAGCGACCCGGTCACAAACGATAGCTCAACGAAGTGGCTTAGCAATGTGGAAATTTATAACACCAAAATACTCTCCACACATAAATGTGGAGGTAAAAACCAGAGGATCCAGAGATAAATCCACGTGACTGCGGGGAGAACATGCAAACTCCAAATATATAGGCGTCAGGCTCGGGATCAAACCTATTACCTCCTGCATACCAGGCGAGGGAGTTAACATCTTGCCACCGTGGCGTGCAACCTGGCACTGCCTTGCAACTCCTCCACCCGAGCAGCTGCGAACCGCACCCTGCGGCGCTTTCCGAATGTTTGGTGGTAGACAAAACAGCGTACCAGCTGTGATTTCGTGCAGACAGAAACTGTGCAGAGCGAGGCTCAGGCGTGTCTTATATAACCGGGAGGAGGTGGCTATGCACGCCTGTAGTCCACCACTGTGGAGGCGAGCGTGGCCGAATACTGTGCGCGCCTTACTACGCTGAAATTATTCTTACAGACATAGATGCCTCCATTTCCCCAATGAAGCAAATCCCACTGTTTTTCGTGCAGTGTCCTGAAATGCGGTTGCATTTAGACGCTTTACAGACGGAGATGTTACGTAATGACTCCGCACTTTAATAAATTCCATATCTAAAGTAGTCCAACGTAAACTAAAACATCATCGGGTATGCAACCACATTGTAATATATGATGTTACATTAACTGCGAAGGATCACTTCCTCCTCCCTTGTGGGTGCACATTGACATCACACCCCCGATTTAAAGCCAAAAGACTCGGATATTTTCACAATCACGGCTACTGCCCGTTGATGCTGGTTGTAACCATCAATGAAACTTTGCACCTAAATGTTAAATGTTGTGACATTGCCCTCCAACACAACTGGGGTGCCGAAGCAGTAATAAATTGGCACGTTTGTTTATGTGACAACTTTATTAATTGGCTGTTTCGGGTGGAGGAAGATTTACAACACACCTTTTTACTTGTGCGATCTGGAATCATAAATTCTAGTTACAAAACCACAGTCGAACTAAGTTCTAGATTTAGCATTGCCACTAAATGTGACTGTGGCTCCATAAAAAACAATGTCGCATGTTGTTCATGGACTGTCCACTGACGAAGCACAGTGGAGGTCTACGAGAACTACACATGCCCACCAAGGGTGTTACTGCATGGCGTGGCGATTACGCACGCGATGAAAATGTGCGTAATTCACGCACCTCCGATGAGCAAGGTTGGCTACGTACAGTGCGAAAGGTGGTCTACATATGTACAATGAATACCACTACATGTAGGATGCCTCAATGGCCACTACAACCAATGGAATCTGCTCACCATGTGTGCCTAGCTCATGACTTGACATTACAAATGTTCGAAATCCCTTCCCTGGGAAACACCCTCGCTGGATTAATCAGCTCAGGGATTCCATTGATTCTACTTCATGGCTGCCACCCACTCGTCTCTTTATCTAAACACTAGCTGACAGACTGTCTCTCTCCCTCTCTGCGAAGCAGCCTGGTGGCGTTAATGATAATAAATTGGTTGCCGTGCGCTGGAGGAAAGGAAGGAAACTAAATCTTGGAACGGGCCGGCAATGCTGTCAGATGACAATTTACTGTCGGCAAACCCTGTACACCTTAACCGGCACATTACCCGAAAAAGACACAACAAAGCTGCACACACACACAGTGTTACGTGTACGACAGAGGTCTACCCTGGACTTGCGCGTTCCCTGCCTGCAGTCGCAACAGTCAACGCCTAGGTGCTGCTGTTCACTGCCTTTGCGTGGGAGTGCTTTATACCTTGAGCACAGTGATGTTCCAAGCGAAGCTCTCCAACGCCTTGCTCAGCTTACGGCCCTTGAGGCCATCCTTGGCTCCCGCATTAGGAAGGTCTTCGTGCAGCTCCAGACCTGCTCAAGCACAGAGGCGCACGCACACACACACCCGATACAACTGCGCGCACAGACAAGTTCACGCAAACTCAACGCGGCACACATGAGAATACACGAGTTTGCACGCCAAGAGTTCTCGCAAAACCGGTTTGCTCGTGTGTGTGTGTTTTATATTCCGCCAAAGAACTTTGTGGTGGCTCTCGACTCTTGACAAATTGAGAAAAGAATTGCATTCGTATTACTATCTAAATTGGTGCATTCATTAAATCCAAAAACTATTTTATACACAATTGGTGAAAAAAATTCACATTCAGAAATAATATCGCAATGAAAGAAAGATAGATATATATGTCACCCAGAACGTTTCGGGCAATGGACCTTCTTCAGAACACAAATAGAGGGGCCAGAGATAGAGTTAATAAGGGTTGGAGAGATGGCACGTTACTTAAAATCATGCTTTTGATGACCATTATTTAAAAATAGGCATATGAATAGTTACCTAATAGTAGCTATTGACTAGATATATCTTAAGGCAGTGTTCTTGAGAGCATTGCGTTTTTTCTGACTGTGCGCCAATGTCAACACAGCTTTATAAAAATTTTGTCCTTTTGGAACTACGAAGATCTATACAAAGTGCCTCTATTACAACTCGCATGCAGTGGGTGGGGGCAGGTAGCGGTGGTGGTGTGCCACCTTCACGTGACAATCACCTGTGGGCTAGTGGGTGCAGTGTGTGCGTGTGACAAATCAAGTCTCGATAACAAATCCAGCATATATCACCGCGACAAGATGCCACCACTTGCAGTGACCAAGATGCAAGTCTATACAAGAATAAATATTTGCAGATTTGCAGTTCACACATGTTGAAACAAAGGTATGCTTGAATGGGATAGACTGGTTCCAGTGGTCCGCGCACTGTGCTATTAACCCTGTTGACCTGGGTTTGATTCCCAGCTGTGATTAACATTGGTAGCGAGAAATATATGAACCAGTCATTGGCTCCCACTGCATAAACCTCACTGACCAGGGTAGTGAAATATAATCAAGCAATTGGCTGTGTCGGGCGGTGGCGGGTTTAATATATTTACGTGATCTAACAAAAAAAACGTTTATGTATAATCAAGAAACTCCTATTAACAACATAGCATGGAGAGGCTCTCATTCATTAGTGGATTAACAAAGGGCTGTTAACTCAGAATTACTCACTATTAAGAGGAGTTTCGTCATCCTGCGGTGAGTAAAAAGCTTGTAAACAATCCCACTGCTTTACAACAAAATTTAATTTCAAATTTATTTCAGACGTTGTCTTCCCGAAAGAACCTGTTCTTCACCTGAGGACGGCTGCTTGCGTTGTGGCCGAAACGTCGTGAGAATGATTTAATTATGTTTTATTTTTATTATTTTATTATTTCCCTTCTACGTGACTTTACCGAAAGAACCAAGAAGATGAAGAACAGAATTAAAGTACAGAGATATTTCGCGAGTGTTCTCTTACTGACAGCGAGCCAACGAGTGCCAAATAAAAAAAATAAAACAGCATTGACTACACCAATGGCACATTTACTAGGTCCAAGATGAGCATTTCAAATTTTACTGGGGCTTAATTTTGTCCAACGGAGTATTTGTCTGTGGGTAATGGCATAACAGTTTCTTCGATGCTATTCTGACGCAAAAAAAAGTCACCCAAGGGGGGTATAAAGATGACTCTTGCGAGGCATACCGGCATGGCTTTGAGCAATATTTTTTATCATTGTTAATTATTTTCATAACGAATTAATTTAGTTTGCAACAGCTTCAAGATGCCTTTATTCAGCAGTAAATCGATCATGACTGACGATGATGATGATGATGACGATAATGGAATGTGCATTAATCAATAAACATATCGGCAAAATGTACGTGTGTGTGTTGAGCTTCTTCCGCACCATACGTAGCCAACCGTGCTAATCGGAGGTGCAGGGGAAGGACAACAAACTAAACACAACAAGCAGAAATAATAGTGATTGCATGGGCATTTGGAAACTCGTTTGGGAAAATTACTTTCAGAGCCCGTTGTGCAAGGGCCAATGAAAGTAGAGAGCGTCGAATTATGTTATTGACAGCCAACATGAATGCACGACAGCTCAGTGGATAAATGGGAGGCATTTCACTCCCGCATTTGGCAGCTCTAGCCAAAGCAGTTATGGCTTGTGTGGCCAAGTATCCCTCTCCATGAGAATGAACGAATGTGTCGTTTATGGTGATTGTCTATTGTGGTCACTTTTAAAGCAACAAATCTACCGAGATGTTTCTCATCAATAATATAGATTCGCACGCAAGCTTATATCATTCCATGACAATGGGAAACAAACAACAAACATTGTCGCGTATACCAAGAGTGCAATTTGCACTGTTCCGGCTTGCAGTCTGCAGAGCGATTGTATACAAGAATGTATCGTTAATTAGAGAGTCCTCACTTTCGCATAATTGCGGCATTATATAATCTTGGCAAGCTATACGAAAGACTACTCTTGTGTAAAAATATTTTTTGACATCGCTTTGTTCTACTTGAGAGCAATCAAAATTTTCTGGACATGCAAAATCTGCAGCACTATATTTGGTAAACGTGAATGGTCCAAAACACTCACTAACTTCTACAGTCTCCGGGGTCTTATTTTTGACGTGAGCCATGTATAGCACACATTCCTGCCATTATTCATCTTATTTAAGCCAAGCAACAGCCCACTGAGACACGGAGCCTCTTCTGCCAGGGACACCAGGACCCTGCAGCCAATGCAACCCTTCTGAGCCATGGAATCGGAGATATAACCTCTCACCTTCATCTTCACCACGCAATAAATGATGTGAATTAATTTCAAATCAGGTTATAATTGTTTGCTTTGCAAACAGCACTTTTGTGCTTTGCAAACAACCCTTCTAAGCCATGGAATCAGACATCCATTCTCTCACCTTCATCACGCTGGAAATTACGTACAAATGTTCCGAATTAGGTTAGAATTGTTTGCATAGCAAACAACATTTTTAAAAACAACTTAAAAGCAGCTGCTTCTAAATGTAAAGCTAACAATTTGGAGTAATTACTGCGACATACCTCTCTGGTTTAATGTCGGTGCAACAATGGCTAGTAAACTAGGTGAGTTTTGGGTCGATTCCAATCGACCCAAAAAATGTCCACAAACGGCATCGCAAAAAAACTCTCCGGGGCTGGGCACCTGCTGCCCCTGGTTGGCACAACAAGAGTCATCAGATCACATCAGTGTGAAGGGCCTCGCATGGAATGTTTTTTCTTGCTGCGCGAGTGGCAAGGGTTGAGAGTGCCGCAATCAGTCGCCCACGCGAGCTCACGCACCTGGGTTCACGCGCATTGGGAACGGCGTGTGCTCTACGCAGCTGCGAGAAAAAAATGCACGCATTGAAAAGCTTCCCCCGAACATGTTCATTGTTACAGTATGGTAAGACCGTAATTATAATATATATGCTCAAAATGTCCCCCCCAATATATTGCTATAAAAAAGATTTTAAAAGAATAATCATTGCGATGCTATGTAAATAAAAACAATTTGCTAAACCTTGGCCACAATATCTGGACTTGTGTTCATATAACAATGCATAGATTTCTGTTTATATCATTGTGGTTATGGTTGTACTTTATGAATCCCTAATCGCTGCCAATACATACAATGAAACAAGAAAATAGTAAAAAAGTAAAAATAGAGCAATGTAGTGCAATACACTGTTAGACATTATTGTAAAATAATCTATAAAAAGTCCATCCCATGTGTTAGTCAATTTTTAAATATTTTAGGCAGGAAATGGCAAGAAATGGCAGGAAATGACTTTTCAAATTTAGATTTTTTTTTCTGGGGGGGGGGGGGGGGGACCCCCAGACCCCCTGGAAGATTTGGTCCCCCCCAATGTTGACTCCATGGCTACGGCCTTGCAGTATGGTAAAGTGACCAATGCACAGTAGGAAAAACAGCTTTCGGCCTTTACAGTAAAGTGCAACTAAACAATTGGGGGGAGAGGGGGGGGGCAGATGTCATTCGCGGGGTGCCATCGCTTCGCATTACAGTTGTGCAAAACGTAGCCAAGCCACGGAAATAGCGATGGGAAAAAATTGTAGATAGCACACCTATAAAAAAAACATCTCAATGCATGCAAATTCTAAACTTGCGACATCAAAAAATAGGTTCACAAATAAACAACCTTGCCAGGCCGAGTGATAAACTGTGCCCCTGAGGAGCCATGAGCAGCATTGCAGGCTTCACTCGGACGTCACCGTTCACGGCCAAGTGAAAGGATGAGTGGTGCCGGCATGAAATGCCAGCTAGGCTTACTGTTTCTATATCCGCGTACAAAGGCAAATATCCCCCGTATAGCCTTAACAGAATGTTGGGACAAATGCTGTAAGCTAGTGGCACTTATGAAGGCCGGACACGGCACACGAGCGGGAGGGTGGCCAGCACCACGCCCGGCTGCCTTTGTCTTCCCAGTCCCAATGATTGCACATCACACCATGTACACATTTGATGCTGAGTAAACCTTGGGGAGGCCCAGGACCGGTAAAGATAATCGTCACGAGCCACGAGTGGAAATCAAACTCGGGTTGCCAGGCTCATAGTAGTGCAGCGCGCTGACCACTGCGTCAACGTTCTCTCACATCTCCACGCGCGCGCGCGTACACACACGTACACACACAAACGTGTTGTCCTAACAATACGTGCCAGACAACAGTGGGTATCATTTTGAGCCGATATTGATCTTGGGGAGTCACCTGTCCACCACCTCAAGCCTCTTCAGAGCAAGAAGCCAGGGGATGGCGTTTCCTGTACGCACGCCTCTCAGTGACCCGGCTCTATTTATTCAGAGGGCAATCTCTTTGTCGGAGACGATCGACGGACAATTTCTCACCTGCCTTCTGGCAGTGGATGATTTTGTTGTACAGGGACTCGGAACTTTCAATCAGGTTCTTCATCTCGTTCACCATCTGCGGCGGAAGAAAACATCATCAGGGGAATCACCGAGGCGACCGTGTGCATCCAAACACTCGGGAGCATATATTAACTATTACAACCAGGCAGAAACCCTCATTTAGTGCGTCCGTCAATCGCGCAGGATGTCATTCAACACCTTCCCATGGCCATTTATTCGCTCAGAATTTCATGAGAAAAATCCACCGGCTGAGTTTCAGGTCGACTGATGTTTAAAAAGCAATGAGCTGCAATCTCATGCAATGCATTAAACATGCAAAATGCTTATCTTTATGTATGAATCATTCATTCGACTCTAAAATGTTGAGGTCTCTTCAGACAAATCAAATTTTGTACTAATGCCTTGGGAAAAGGTGTTTTTTACATCCACGAAAAAATATCAAACAGTGTGATGTAGTGATATTTGTGAATAAATTGTGCAGGTAAAAATGAATCGCCTTTATAATTATGTTCTTGTTTTATTGGCTGCTTATTTCAAGTCATGAGAAAATTGGCTCAAATAAAGTGATATAATTAAATAAGACAATGCATAACAAAGGTTTCCTTGTATGCGCGTGTGTGTACGCGCGTTTGCAGGCAAACATGGTACGACTTATTATTCATTATGGTCACTATAGTAAGACACTCAAATGCCCTCCCACTGGGCCATTTCCAAAAATAGCCAAGCATAGCACACGGGTACAGACACATCACGACAACAACCCCATCTCTGCTCGGAATTCAATCAAAAGCCCCTGAATAGGTTAACTGCCGCTTGCAGAATGCTATTTTTATTACTTTCACCTGGTCTCGTACGTTAAAAATGAAAATAATACCAAACACGTACGCACAGAACATAGCAAGATATTTTTAAGCATGCTAACGAACCACATTATTGGGCATTACATCCAACGTAGGTAGAGAGACAGTGTAGCTACCAACCACCACAATTGCACGCAAACGCCTGACACGAATTCATATCGAGTATGAGCAGTAACCACACGAGTCACTTCCCTGGTTGTTCTTTGGGTAGACCGACACTTGCCACATGATTGCAAAACTTCCCCCTCCTAATGGCTCAGGGCCACCAAGAGAGAGATAAGCACATCCCATATCAACTGACCGGGAGACACTGACTTTAGATTTATTTTTACTTCCTTTATACATCGGTGCAACCGACAGGGGTAACAGATCCCCCAACTGAAGGAGGGCCCATAAAGTCGACGTAAGGCTCCAGCAAGCGACAGCACCGTGGGTTGCATCAATGGCTTGACACTCTGTTCCCTAGGATGCCAGAAGAGAAAGGTTTTTGGTAGACTTCTGGAGATACTTTTAATGACCCTCGGAGGCATCGCCAACACCCATCGTTCAGCCAATGAAATGGCAGGGTTTAATCGTAGCAGAACAAATGGCATTGACAGCAGGATATAGATAACACACCATCAACACATGTTTTGTAAAATACCTAAATTCATCAGGGTGCTGGGAATGGTAAATACTGCACTACAGTACATATGTAGTGTCTTCTAAAATTACTCACACCAACATGTTGTAACAAGTCACCTGCTTACACTTTATTCACCTATTCTTGCACCAGTTGTAGGCACTCCTATAACTATCGATACGGTCACTTCCCCCCACTCTTATCTACATTCCACCTCGCTTATCCTGCACTCAGCAGCTCTGCTCTCAGCGACTCCGCGCACACAGCGTCTCTGCACACAGCGTCTCCGCACACAGAGACTCCGCACACAGCGTCTCCGCACACAGCGTCTCCGCACACAGCGTCTCCGCACACAGCGTCTCCGCACACAGCGTCTCACACACAGCGTCTCACACACAGCGTCTCACACACAGCGTCTCACACACAGCGTCTCACACACAACGTCTCCGCACACACAGACTCCGCACACAGCGTCTCACACACAGCGTCTCACACACAGCGTCTCCGCACTCAGCACCTCCGCACACAGCGACTCCGCACACAGCATCTCCACGCACACAGCGACTCCGCAAACAGCGTCTCTACATCTCCACCGCTGCCCTCACCTACGCTCCCTCAGACCCGCTCACCCGTCTGTTCCGGGCGGGAGGATCAGCCAACACCCGCCCGGCGACGGCGTGAGGGTTGAGGTCCCGTTGACGGCTGGAGCGGCAGCGCATCAGATGACCTCGGTTAACTGTGCGCACCGCGCATTTCACTCCTCTACACATTCACTGCATTCTAGACGTATTGTTTTAAGGGTCAATGACAGAGACTGGTGGCTGTGAGCAAACCCTAGAGCTGGAACACACATGCTCTGCATTGCATCAGCACCGAGGACAATGACAGTCGCCATCCGCCACTAAGTGGTGGCGACAATCACCACGGCGCCTGTGCCAGTCTAGGTGCACTTTGAGGCCACGTGAAGTGTCAAAGGGCTCGCTAACAGGGGGTCACGGGACAGACTCAGGTGCCATGGGTTGCCTGTCTAAGATGACTGGCAGATGCACCAGCTGTGCCCATCCTACTGTGCCAAATTGCTGCGTTTTAGTCACCTAGCACTCCGCTCGTTGTTGTGAGCATCGCTCCTCTGCTCTACATTCCTGTTGGAGGGCGACTGTTTCCAACTGAACAGTAGCGTCCTACACTGCAGCACAGGCAGTGTTGGTGGTTTGACCTCAAATCTGACATCTGCTACTCCCAAAATTTTATTCCAGCCGTTTGTGAATTTCCCAGCTGCACGGATGAATTATGACCAACTAACTGGCCTATGATGGATTTTGGGATTTAACATAATAATGAGCTCATAAATATGCTTTGTCCGTTGCATTACCTAACAGCCCACATCTTTGAATGCTCAAATTAGATTTTCTATTTTTTGTGGCCTTATGCATCAAAATCCTGCACAATGGGATACCATTACAAGGCAGATCAGACAAGATTGTAATCGTCAGCACTAAAAAAAACCTCGTGCTCCTCTAAACAAGCTAAAGTACAAACAGCTGGGACGTGCGAGCAATCTTACCCACAAATCCCCCTCTCCTGTAGCCAGCCCTCGTCCAGGCCTGGCTGGCTTACGATTAATGTTTTTTTAAGAGCTCTTTCGGTGTGAAATATGAATCATCCCAAGACACGCAGACTGTGATCGCAGACATGCCTGTTATGCCACCAGAGAGTTTTTTTTTATAATTGTTCCCCTGTGAAGAACTCCACCACCTATCCGCTAATTGCATAATCAACCAGCTCTTTTATTTGGTTAAGAACATCGGTTTACATTTATAATACGAATGTAATGACTCAGCAGTGTGTCAATATGTCATGCCGAACGTAAATATGTTCACAGAATTTATCGTTTACTTTTGCGTCAACATATTGTCAGGGTTAGAGCGGTGGTGGTGCAGTGGTTTAATGCACCGCACAGTAAACTGAACAACCCGAGCTCAATTCCCAGCCACAGCTAACATCAGTGGCTGGTGATATACACCTTTGCAAACGAGGCGTTCCATCTGAAGGGCTTTTGCAGGTTAAATATTTGAATAAAAAAACATAAATAAAATAGCGATATGCACGAGTTGGTGGTGCCCCCTGCACCCAACTACACTACCTCATGGAGAAGCATGGTCAAACACCACCTCCCACCCTCCCCACAACTGACACAGCATGGGGAGGGTCTTCAAACAGTAGTGGAATGACAAAGCGCTCCACATAATCATAGTGTCAATTTACATGAAACAAACATTTCAAACGGTAAATGAACAGACAGCTAAATGAACCTGTTTCTGTTGTTGCTGGCTCGGTTACACTTTGTTCTTTGGAAGCGCAGCCCGAGTGTCCCATGTCACGATAACCACACTTCATGTTCATTATTACATACGTCACATTCTCCTCTATGTTAACTGTGCCCTGAAGACGCACATCATCAGTGGCTGGCCAAGCCAACGGTGCAAAGTGTCACAGCGCTGGCTGGCTCAGCGGGATAAGCCTCTGTGCCACATCTCTGTGCCCATAAATTCAGACAAACTGAATTTTATCCTCGCCAGGGTACAAAATAAATCAAAATGTAATTTTACTTAATAATATCATTAAACATGTAAGACAACGCAGGATCCGGCATGTGAACCATAGCCAAAAGCCAGCATGGGGAAATGGTAGAGCACACATCTGCACTGCTGGCCTGAAGCTATTGGTGGAAATTCCACATTCACACGGTGGTAGTGAATACTGCACCGGTTCTTATTCAATCCATTTTCCTTGCTTTACTGAGAAAATGATGACTGTAAGGGGTGGTGGGGGGGTTGCGCATTGCACTTTGAACTTAGAAATCCAAGTTGATTTCCTTGTGTAGGCAGGCCCTCAACAGTGGATTGACATGACCGGCATCATCAGGCACCTGATGATTACTAGCAAAATGTCACTGAGATTGTAAATGTTGTGGATTTGCTCTCCAACACAAAGGTGACCTGTACTAGTGTAGTGACATAGAATGGATCACTACGGGGTGTAGCGCTGGGTACAATAGAATAAGGCAATATGGGTCTAGCAGCCAGCACAGCATGCAATGGGTCGCTAGGGTGCGTGGCGCTAGCTGCTGGCAGAGAGGGGCATATGAGTCCTAAAGACAGAGCATGGTAAAGCAGCTATCCCACCAGCACAGCAGGTAATTCCACGTAGTGGGTCACTAGGGGGCGTGGTACTAGCCGCTTGCTGAGAGGGGCACCTCACCCCGGCTGGCTGGCAAAGCACGTGATGGGCCGGGGTGAAGGATGTCGGGCAAAAGTGACCGAGGGGACACGGGGAGCATGGCCCAGGACCTTCTAGAGGGTTCCAGGAGCGGGCGTGGTTAAGGGCAGAGCCGGGCAGGTGGCACGTGGAGGTCGTCCCAGGACCTCCTGGAAGGTTCTCGAAGGGGGCATGGCCGAGGGTGGAGCCAGGCCATGCTATGGGGCATAAAAGGGAAGCCCCGAGGCTGAATCAGGGCTGTCTACAAGTGGAACAGAACCCGAGGTGTTAGTTCTTCGTCTCCGGCGTCGTGGG